CGGATTATTTTCCAGGGCTGAAATTATAGTGTTCAAAAACTTAGTGAGGAACGTGGAAGGCACAATTAGTTTGCTCATTGGTCTCATCTTCAAGAGCACTGCTATTCAACTTAGGCAAGGCAAGTTAGTCTGTATTTAGTCTGTATAGCACAATTCATACACAAGGCAACTCAAAGTGCTGAACAAAATAAGATGGCATTGTTTTTTTCATTCACCAATTTCTTTTTTTTGGAAGGCCTAGCGCTCTTGACATCACCACTTTGAATGTTTAACAGCAAATATATTAGTACAATATTCAATTAAAGTATAATTAACAATGAATGCTAAAGACTGGGCCACTACCAACCAGGCATGAAGCAGGACCTAGCCAGATTTCAACTAGAGAAAAGATTTTATTTGTTCTACAATTTTGAACAACAATGGTTGTCTTAAGATTTGGTTTAAGACAAAATATCCACAAACAAAAAAATCAAGATTTGCCACCGGGACGAGGATAAGTGAGAACCTGGAGTCTCTGGGGCAAGGACTCACCTGAAAAAAAGACTGAAATTTCCTGGTTGATTCAAACTTGTATTCGTCCCACAGTGGGGGAGTTTTGTCATCGTTGTGTAGAAAAAAGAGCACAGACGATAAGCACACATCAAACAAGGCACAAGATAGTAATCTGTTATTTAAGATAATAAAAAAATAGTCTCTCGTCTCTAAATCAAAACATAAAATCTCATCATCTTAGCTGAGCCTGATTCTGGCAATAATTGGACTTAGAGACCGTAGCCGTAAATGGCCCAAAGGAATAAGACACAAGCAAGTTCAACTTTAAAGGGAAATTGCTGCTGTACTTGAATCACAATGAGACAAGCAAAACATTTCTCCTTTCAAGAATTGACTACCTATTGTTTGGTCACTTTTGCAGTGAATAAGGGCTTTGATTGTTTTATATCCCCGTCAATCACTGCTGTATGACAAATCAGGAACAATCATGACCTAAATGACACAGTGAGCGCCATAGTTTCACAAAACTAAATTAAATACAGTACATTAATTTGTGTTTGAATTGACACCAATCACACCTTTTGTACATGTTTAGTGGTAAGGCCAACCAGAGCACTCAGAGGAAACCAATGCAGAAACAGGGAGAACATGCAAACTCCTCACGGAAAAGGCCTGGCGGTAGAATCAAACCCACAGCTTTCTAACCTCTGCGCCACCATCTATCTCGTCCCTTTATAGAAATTTGACATCTGCATTTGACCCATCCTTCCAAAGCCACCAGACAACTTGACAGGAGCAGGGGTCTCCCTCCAGGGGTTCATACTCCGCTGGGCCGAGACCACCTTCGCTGAGGATGTTACATGACGCATGTTTTGGGGGAAATTGGCCTCTGTGTGTGTCAAGCACTGAGATGAGGACAATTATTTCAGGGGAATAGCTCAGAGGTCAATGTGAATTTTATGTGTCATTATCAAAAGTGCAAACAAGTATTACTATTAACAATTAATGCATCTTTTGACCCAACGTGGACTCTGAGAAGCACAGGGACGGGCCTCCTGCTGGTGCCCAGAGTCATATAGATGGGGAGACAGCGTTTGAGATGTATGCAGCTACAATCTGGATCAGTGTTCTTGAAAATATGAGACAGGCTTCTACTCTGACAATGTTCAAATCCAGGTTAAAAACTGTTATTTTGCTGTGCATACAACTAAAGGATTGCTTCTTCACTTTTTTCAATGCACTGTGATAATATATGATTTTCAATGCCTCGATTTCAATGTTTCTTTTCTTATTTCTTAAGGACTGAGAAATGTGCTTTGTCAAACAACTGCACTATACAAATAAACCTCAGCTTGCTGTTACATGCACAATTTTGAGAATAAGCAACAATCTTAATAATTCATAATTGTCAAACCCTCTCTGGTGCCTCTCAGTGAAATAACTTATATCTAACCTAAACATCTAGCAGAAAAAGTTACTTTATGGTGAAATATAAGGCAAATACTGACCTTCGTAAATGTCCTTCCAAAACTGTTGAAGTGAAAAGGAATCGTTTGGATTTCACTGAAGCAAAGGAGCATCCACCGCTTCTACCGCAACAGTCCACACAGGCCAACGAGATTATTGACCGAAGCAGAAGCCGATCAATTCACACATCTTCGACTTGTTGGACCGTTTTGTCTCAGTTTACAAACAAAATCAGCGTGAAGGAGTGGATTATGGACTGCGTGTACACGACCATGATCGCAGACCAACTTTCCAAAGACGACCCCCCCTCCCCTCAGCACCTCTATTCATGCGAGGAAATACAGCTCTCCATGCCTTACACAAAAGACGGTTAGTGACTGCGGACAGGGCGGCTATCACTAAGCAACAGGCCCTGGAATCTGCGGCCCAGAACAGGCCCAAGCTCACGATGGCAAGATAAAACCGTCACAAATAACCCTAACATTTTGTTACGCCATTGTACACACACACTATGGCGCAAAAGGGCAGTGGCTTATGTGTGTTAGTAAGAGCTTAGCTGGTCTTAACCGAAATATTAATAAAGGGATTAAAATTGTAATGATGCAGTTTAGTTTGGGGGCAGATTATTGTGCTTCGCTGGTTTTGAATGCACCAGATTATCTTAATATGTGTGGATGGTATTGTGTTTTTGTTGGTTTAAGATCGGACAGGATATAGTTGCTCAATTTGCAGGAGCTGAACAAGGGATGCATTTGGCATTACCTTTTGTTAATCCCTAAAACAGATGCAGCATTAGTGTGTTATGAGTCACGGTGCCTTTTGTTTTTTTTGGTTTTCAACGTAATTTAGGCCATTTTGACTCCAGAAGGCTTTAGTGGTTTGACTGGGGCTACTTCCTTACTTACTTACTACTGTTTACTGCACCAATTATAACCTTCACTGAGTCAATCATTAAATCTGGGGTCCCCAACTTTGAAACCACAACAATTGACTATGGTCAAACTAGGTCCTTTTTGGCCTCAGCATTTTCAGACAGAAAAGAGAACAAGCCAATCGGCTCTCAGCTCAAAGTGTTGAAGAGTGATCCAAAAGGCTATTTTGTTTTTTTTTTACAAACATGCAAGCGCTGAAAACAGGATGTTGTAGTTTGATTTGTTCACGTCATTCTTTCTGTTGGGACAAACATGTATCATTTAGTTTCCTGTATCATTTTAGTGGTCGAACCCTTTTAAACTACAAGCGTGTGTATTGTCGTGCTCATGTGGCATGCAGTCTGCAGCTCCTGTGTAATGTGCCATGTGAATGTCTGACATCTGCTCACACTGCTCCCTGTAGGTTGAACTAAATCATTTGCTTTATTTAACATGAAGGATGCCTTCACTTTGGAAACAAAAACACACAATGGATGTACTTGAAATGAAAAAGAAAACCCACATTTTATTGCACTTAAGTTATAAGAAAATAAAATTCTAAGTGAATCAAACAATACACAATCCCTTTAAGGTTTTTTCTGACTGTTATCTTTTTGCCAGGCAGTTTTACAGAAACGCAAAAATAAAACACCTGTGACAAATCTGATTGGCAAACCAGATCATAAATTAAACAGGGAGAAACAACAAGAGGAGATAGAGCGATTGTTTTTCTTGTTTAATATACAGTGTTATACCACTTTCACAGTTCAGCTTGAGTTGTGAGTCTTAGAGATTGAGAGGGTTTGTTTGGCTACAGAGTTATGTTCTGGTTTGTGGTCTGGCAGCACATGGAGCATTGATCTCCTGCGCTGCTCTCCTCTGTAGCTTCAGACATCATTGAATGCACCATCACACAAGAACGACACTTCTCACACACAGCCCAGTTTCATCTTTGTTTTTGTGGCCGCTTCACACAGCATTTGTACATTTCCCCAAAGAACAGACTGCAAGAGCAATGTCTCCAGGAATGTGTATACAAGTAGCCCATGACACGCGCACACACACACACATGCACTCACACTCCAACAGTGTACATCCCCCATGCTCTGCGCAGCCTCGTAGAGGCACGTTTGGCTCAAGTTTCAGTGGCAAAAACAAACTCAAATCTAAATGTTGATGTTAGCTTTAGGTTTGTGACATTACGTCCAAACAGTTCAATTTGGAATTTTGCCTGGGACTAAAACGTCGCAGCAAGTAAAAGTTCATCTCATTTCCAAAGGACTAGCAGCATAGATACAGTTTGGCCACTTGGGAAACGTGGAGGGGGAGGGGCAGCTGGACTGAAAACTTCTGGACAGCATTGATGTGCTACACACTCAAAATGTGTACAACAGATACATACAACTCCAATAAAATAACCCTGTGATATAACGACAGCAAACCTAAAGTGAAAAGGTTCTAATACTGAGATTGGTTCCTATTGGCAACGGCAAGACAGACACTTACAACAGGAAACCCATTTGTGAAAGAAAGTAAAAGTCCAAAGATTCACAGCTGTGGATGTGAGACACTGTAAAGTAAATGCATTGTGAACCAAGTGGAAAAACATGAAGAAACGGAGTGACAAGAAACGAGCCTGCCCTCCAGGCCCCGCCCCTCAGCCTGGCAGCCAATGGTCTTTCTGCTTTCGCTCCTTCACAACAAGCAGCTCATGAATTTGGAAATGCACCTGGAACATCTCCCTCAATCTCTTTGTGTACGCTGTGTCTTCACTGCACTCAACTCGAGAGCAAGTGGAAGTGTTTGTGGGCATCTGCGGGTGGCTTTAAAAAATAATATCTCTCTGTACAAGTCCAAATTGGCCAGGCGCAAGAGATGAGACCCAGTGCGGGAAACCACTGCGCTCAGTTTCTGCTTCTTTTTCCTTCTTTTTCAATCAGAAGCAAGATCCCTGCCCCGTGTCCGGCCCGGTCCCCCTGACATGTGGCGGAGGGTGGGACAGGACGGCGGAGGACAGGACGGCGGAGGACAGGACGACTGGCGCGAGTGCTCTCTTCCTCTCCGGTCACCCAGCGTGCGCCCTCTTTTCCTCCCGTCTCGCTCTGTGGCGTTGTCCCCTTGGCGCCCCCCTCACTTCATGTCCACGTCAAAGTCCAGCACCAGCAGCTTGGTCTCTTCTGTGCCGTTGCGACTGCCCACCGCGCAGACCAGCTTGGTGTTGGAGGCCCGGATGCGCCACACGACACCGCCGCTGCCGCCGCTTTCCAGGGTCACCAGGTTACGGATGAACTCGCCGGTCTTCAGGTCCCAGAGCTTGACCGTGCCGTCGTCTGAGCTGGTGATGACAAAGTTCTTGTTGAACTGGAGGCACGTGACGGCGCTCTGGTGCTTGTGTGGACCTGTGGACAGATGGGAGAGAGAGAGAAGGGGTGAGGTGGAGGACAGGGTGAAGGCGCCTTTGCTACAGAGGAGCCACTCTGCGGGAAACAACGGTTACCGAGAGATCCACTGATCTCTCTACGCTTTCACACGGAGCCTGTGAAGTTCAAAATGGTCTGTTCTCACAAAACTTGAAGATTATTTTTAATGCTTTTGGACGGAGCTTTCTGCTATTGTTGCAGATAGCTCAACTATTTTGGTGCCAAACATTTGGCTTCACTTCCAAATTTGTCAAATTCTTAAATGTAAACCTCACAATTTGAAGTTTTTACCCAAACCCCAACAGAGAAAACTATTTAAATTTGACATTTACATTTGTCATTTAAACAAGTGTAAGTAATAGATCTGAAGTGAACAGGGCTGGAATGATTTTCCATACTGACTAATTATTTTTTAACTTCTATGAAAAAAAGATTGTAATCTGTTGGACAAAGGGATGATTCTATAGCATGTTACACCAATGTCCTGGTTGGGCCTTTCAATCAATGTAATAATGTATTATGTAATAATAATTAACCCAGAGCAACATAGAGTTAAACATTTTTTTTCATACAGTTATTCTAGACTTCATTTCAGGATTAAAAACCAAAATATCACAATTAGGCCCATATTGTAAATTGGGGAAGACTCGGTTTACTTCAGAAGCAAAAGCAAAAGTCCTGCTATCATCACAGATCTGTTATACAAGAAGTGCCTGAGAGGACTTCTGGACACTTTCACATTAAAAAAAATTAGGCAAAATAAGATCTAAGTGCACAGCCAGTGATCTAAAGGAGAAAAATGGGTATGGGCAGAAAGCCAAAAGATTGAGATTGGAATCAGAAATGAAACAGCTGGTTTGGTGCATTCTTTATGTAAATGAGGGAAAGCGTATGACAGACCCCTCTCAGAGCTCCATAACAATTACACAATGCACCTTTAAATGGCACTTACTGATCAAATGTTTCCTTTTGTCATGCTGTTGTATTTAATTTGACTGATTTTTTTTATTTTTACAACAAGCGTCCGTCTGGATAGAGCTACATTATTGGAGGAAGCACTAAAAGTGAAATGTGTTATCATTGTCCTAACTACCGAGCATTTACCACCACCAAAAGACCCCAAACACAATGGTGTACACTGGAAATAAAACATCTTTGCCGCCTCAATCTAGGCCTGAAAACAGCACCACAACCGTGCGAATGGGTTGAATTATTTAAAGCTGAGAGCAGTGTCGAGTGTAAACAAGACGTGTGTAAATATGAGCAGACAGAAGACGGCGTGTGAGGATGTGATTGCATAAAGCGGTTCATGGCTTAGTACTTGGGGCAGCTCTGACAGTCTGGTGGAGGAGACAGTTTTTGGCTTGTCACTGTGACTGCACCGTCTTCCTGAGCTCTGTGTGTGTGTGTGTGTGTGTGTGTGCGTGTGCGTGCGGGCGGGCAATGTACGCGCCCTCGCAGCTGGCAACCGGCCACAGTCAACGTCAAGATGGCTTCCGTTAGTGTGCCGGCTTTCCCTGAGCTGACTCATACGACGGCAGGTCTGTGTTTATACAGAAGAGCAGAGGGTGGCACAGATTTCCCAAAGGGCCCAAAACAAAGTCAATCAAATTAAGAAAGGAATTTGTACTGAATCATGTAGCGACAAATGAAACGGTTGGCACAGGTATACAGTACATCATCAAGTTGAGTGTCGTACTATAACAAGATATAGAATCAGTGTCATAATTCTGGGATGTACAACCACCAAACTTATCTTCACAGATCTGTTTCAAAAGGATGTTAACTGACTTATGCGACGACTGAAGTCTTTTATTTCCCCAGGTGAACCAGTCCAGATAAAAAGGATAGAACTTGTCGTGAACATTATCCCAATTGGATAAACTACTATTTTCAATTGCTTTTAGTTGGAACAAGCTCCAAATATGGCTTGGTATCTTTCAATGTGATATGATTCAATATATTATTATTACTAAACTTTACATTATGGTTCTGTTACAACACTATTGATATAATTAATTCTTGGACAATAATTGTTAAAGTTAAAATGAACATGAAAATATAAAAAGAAATCTATAAACACACATTGCCTCCAATTAAAAAAATAAATATTTGATTGAAAAGCACACCCTTACAAAGGTACAAATGTGCTATGCATGGTTAGATTCACAAGTAGATTGACCTCATTCCAACACTGCCTTGTTCAACTGTATGTTTTTGTCAAATGATACGACAGACTAGACACAAGTTTGCACCCTTACAAACTCAGACTTCACACGTGCTCGCCCTTTGTGCACCAACACTCATAAGGTGCTTAAACTGTTGCCGTCACACAAAAGAAAACCCTTTTTGACGAACGCGTTACAGTCCTCCTGTCAACAAGCCGTCCCCATCTCCGCCTTTAGATCCGCACTCGGTTCAAAGGCTGTGGTTTTTCCTCTGTAGCCCCCCTTCCTCCCCTTTTCCCCTCACAGTAACCACGGCATTACCACAACAAAGACCCCGTCTTGTCATTACCTCGTGGCTCACACGGATGTCCATGTTGTGGCCCATTGTCTTATCAAAACACACTAATGAATAGCTCAAACTGTCCGCTGGCCCAATTATGTGACCTACAAATATGGCCGACCCTTTGACTGGCGCTGCCCTGCCCCCACCTCGGCAGATCTGTTCCTAGAGGCGAGCTTTTGTCCCGTCCCAGTTACACGGCTTGGAGGAGTTTTCCTACGAGGCTTGTTCGGAGGCGGGACATGCGACTTCCCGCTAATGGAGTTGAGGCGGTTTAAAATGGGCACAAAGGGAATGAGGAGGTAATCAGTGAGCAGCAGCCTGCGTTTTGCTCACGTACAGATATTTCGCAGAGCTTTCTCCATTTATGCAGTAGTTTACAGGATGCAAATGGGACCCGACTGTATGTGCGTGTGTGTGTGTGTGTAGGAAGGGGTTTGGAATAATTTGTTGAGGCAGGTCTGAACACGCTCCCAGTGCATTGGTTGAATTAGAAGGTTGTGCTTTAGGTGGAGTTAGGAGGCCAATTAAGACATTTTTTCCTCTCCCTAATGCAGTAATAACGCACTTCTGAGTTCTGCAGGCGCTCGATAAGTTTTAAACATGTTACAGTTTGTGATGTGGTAAACTATATATCTTCATGTAGTTTAAAACTGGGTTATCTCACTTTTTCCCTCCATATATATAACATGCTACTTTTTACATATAAGGAGAATTCCAATGTTGGGAAGAAATATTGAGTTAATAACACCACAAACAAATACGCAACATACTCTGTAATGAAGTGAGCAGTTTACTGACCTTGTAGCGTCTGCAGGCACTGGCCCGTCTTGATGTCCCAGATCTTGACGGTAGAGTCTGCGTTGCCCGACACCAGGATGTTGTCTTTGAGCTCCATGCCGCTGGTGAGAGACTGGTGCCCGGTCAGCGTGTGGATGCAGTTCCCCGTCTCCACGTCCCACACCCGGATGGACGTGTCCAACGAGCCGCTCACGACATGGATGCCGTCAAACTGCGGAACACAGAGGCCGAAGGTTTAGAGCGGCCCATCTGCTAGATGCTGGATGTTTCCATCGGGCCCCTGAGCGCTCCTCACTTTATATAGATATAGTTATAATCCCTCTGTGCTGAGTGCAGAGCTCTGGAGCAGCAGTAGCACTCCTTTGTGCTATAAAAGCAAGCAGAGGCCACACAACAAAGACAGAACACGACAAAGACAATAAAATAAAAACATAAAAAAGATCACCAGACAGCTAATGGAAGGCCATTTGAAAAAAAAGTGTGTTTTAAGTGATTTAAAGATGGTAATAAAAGGGTAATATTTACATTGCTTAAAAATGTCCCTTTGGCTTTGCCAGAATTTTTCTCTGGTGCAACATTTTTTTCCCCACCCATTTTTCAGTGACTATTACATAACAAAACGGAAAGTACTGACGCTACCACAGAGCTAATACAGACATAAAGACATGACCCAATAAAATAAGCAGCTCACGTAACAATAAGTGACAAATGTGAAAGCTCAGCCGAGGTTAGAACCACAGCCAAAGTGCGCTGTCATCATAGAGAGCTACAGGTCAATGGTGCACAGAAGATGCCAGATCAGAGCTTTTATAATGGAGTTAAAGAAGAACAGAGGTTAAAGGACTGGAACACCCCCGAGGGAAGAGTTGCACAAATGGGTGTGACTGTGGAACCTGGGGAGGAGGCTCTGGTATGTACAAGACCAGAGGACTTGACATTTAGCAAACAGTGGAATTAGCGGGGAGTTTTCCATGTAAACAAATCATGTTGTTTAACTACAGATCCTGTCTATAAAAGTTGCAAACACACGCTATGCAAGTGTCTCATAAAATGTGCGTAAATATAAACAGCTTATTAAAGGTATAAAGCAAAAATAGTCCAGAATTCTATTTCAGTAGGAGGGAAGGTGCCAGTGCCACTCAATAGAAAAGAAAGAAGAAAAGAGAATGTCCTGAAGCTTCCCCAGATCATTATTTGATAGTGATCAGATTTGCAAACCTGTCATATTATTCTTATGTCTGAAGGTCTTTTCTACTGCCCACTATCATGCATATGTCTCAATAGTGTCATCTTCTATGAAAAAAATAAATAGACCATAGTTGATACGTGCTGACGAAAATATGATAGTTTTTTCATGTGGATTGGCCGAGGAGTTTCCAACCCAGTGTGCGAAGTGAGGGGAAAAATGCCCACAATAACTGTATAGCAGCTCTGTCTGTGAAAGGCGCTATATGAATAAAGATTACTTACTTACTAGAAATGAGCTCCAAATTAAGGCCTAAAGTTTGACTTTCACAAGTTACAGTTGGGTACCAGGAAAGATTGTTAAAGTGTCCTCCACCTCAATTGTAAACTATAGGCTCTTAGATAATCTAAATATATAAATATAAAAAATAAATAGAAAACACATAATATACCACCAATCTTGATCCAAACGGAATTATACTATCAAACACCTCCACGAATTAAGTAAAGTAGTCCATTTGCACAGGCCCACTAAATTACAAACCAAGACGTGGCAGATTTTATGCACTCAAATACGATAATGATCAAAATCTTTTTTCTTTCAGTATGTAATGTATGTATCCCTGTATCAGGTATGAATATGATAGAAAGCCATAAAACGCCCTTTACACGCATGTACCTGTAAAGAGTAGACTCTGTTGGTGTGCCCCTGCAGCGTGTGGAGGCAGGTCTCCGTCTCGGGGTCCCACACTTTGACCATGAAGTCGTAGGCTCCGCTGACCACCCGGCGGCCGTCGTACTGCACACAGCGTACCGCGGCCACGTGGCCCATCAGCACGTGTAAACACTGACCGCTCTCTATGTCCCAAACTCGAAGTGTCGCATCCCGCGAGCCACTCACCACCCTGGAGACACAAGGGGGAGGAGGTTAGGAGAAGCAAGCAGGGTTTTCAACTTTTCTATGATTTTTGCAGCCATCAAATAAATAATTAGTAATCCTTACACCAACTTTTGTATGACTGTATGATTTGTTACACCTTTAATTGTTTAACCCTTTGTATCAGTCCAAAGGGAAAAAAAGAGAACAGGGTAACTGAGAATTTGCTCCATTTTATATTAAAAAGCAAAACCTTAAGTCAGTGTCTAGATATGTTCTGTTCTGCCGTCGACACTATTCAAACAGTATACAGACATGACATTTTAGATAATTCTTCACTTTAGTTAATCCCTATCTACATCTAAGCTCTAAGCTCAACAGCATTTAACCCGAGGTGCGGCACAAACTATTAACTCATTTACTTCATGTGGAGGGGCTGATTTCTGACAAAAGGTCCACCTGTCTGTAGACTTCAGAGCAGAGTGTGGACTTTGAATAGACTAAACAGGGGCTCATTCACAATCTGACAGCTGCATTGACAGAATAATGAGGCAGGTACAGCGGTTAAACTCTGACAAACAGCATCATAGTCGTGTTGGAACTTGAATGTTCAAATGGCAACATAGACAGGATCACGGGGAAAGGAAAGACGCATCAGAAAGTGCCAGTCGGACATGGATCTCCCTCCAGGCTAAAGACAAACTAGATTTTTTGGGAGCAATTACTGACTCCAATCACTGAAGTTTTTTAAAGAGGTATTATGTCAGATTTCATAATATTACAGATTTCAAACAACAACGCCCCCAGCTCAAACCTATAATTGCGCGATGCCTTTTGTACCAACCAGCTCGAACATGGATCACGGTCTTTGCAATCAATTAAGAGTTAATGTGTAAAAGTGTTGTGAGACGTGTCTTTTTCCAATGTGCAGCATCTTGGCGTTCTCGATTCTTCCACAGCTGAATCGCGATTAACAAGTTAACTAGTCTAAACAACTAATTTAGAGAGTAAGTTTGTTTTGCTTTGATAGCTTAAGCAATCTTTATGTAAATAGCAAATTATATAGACTAAGGTCACACAAAACACTACAATTTTTAGGAGTACTGATAGTTCCCATTCACTCCCCACGAAATGATGACAGAGGCGAGACCCCAAACACTCTGGCGCATCCTTTCGCTCTCTCACATTCAGAGCAATTTTATGTGTTTTAGCGGCAGGGGAAACCATCAGGAGGAAACCCACACCGACACTGGGAGTACAAACTCTACACAGAGATGCCCTGTCTGGAGGTGTCGAACCCAGGATTTGCTCTGAAGCAGTACTGCTAATGCATGTGCCAGAGTGCGGCCAGTTTGGTCATTGATGAATCTGTTTTTTGAGCCATACTTGGACCGAAACATGCCTCGACCAGATTTTATCACTCAGAAAGGACTACAATCATTACAGAACGACTTGGAATCATATTTTTTAAGTATTTCTAATCAAACAACCAATTGTGTTGCACGTCTCTGAGAGGATATTCTTGAGTGGCATTACTTTTGATTTGTTTTAGTCTAAACCAAGAAAAAACGCATATTCAACGCATCCCCCCACTAATTGTTAATCACAGATATGAGCATTTTTCACCCTTTGTGTACCTTTGAAAAAGTTTTATTTACTGCAGTGCTCTTAATCACAACCCATTTGCAAAATCTCATAGTCTGGAGTCTTTATCAAAGGCCCTGGTCATTAAATGTCTGGAAATCTCCAGGTTGTTATTGACCGGCAGCAGCGAGTGAAGTGCAGCACAAACCCACAGTGGCCCTGGGGCAGAAAGAGCACTCGGGACACTTGGGAGAGTGAGTGAATGGGTGCGCTTCATAGGGTCTATTTAACCAGAGAGAGGCTGCATGCTCACTTGGGCACAGATCTGGCCATCCTTAGACTTGCCCTTTTGCTTGGCAGTCTTCTTCATAGCGGTCAAGAGCTAAATAGAAACGCTGTAAACAGATGGAGCTGTACAAACCAGTCCTATTGTTCATTTTGCCGGATAGAAGTGGGGCACGACAAGCATTTGGCAATAAAGCATGAAGAAGAAAGCATTAGCTGTCCGAGTAACCTTTATAATATCACGGCTGTATATTAAACTGGATTCATGTAGTATTGAATGTTGTTTTGGAGGCTGCCCAGGTATTAGAAAGTATTTTAAATTTGCTATTCATTGCAATGGCTGAAAGGTTCACATTATAATCATCCCATTGTACTTATGTCAAAGTCATTTACATATAGAATAAAATGGGGTTCTGCAACACATGAATAAAAATAACATTAAATGGCTTGTATATTATTTTTTATCTTTGTATTGCATTTTTTTTTAAAGATAAGATGAGAGATTAGTCCCACAGTGAGGAAATTTGGGTTGAAAATTACCTATTACGTAGCAAGTAACCTTTTTCAATAGGTGGCACACAAGTTCTAGAATCGGTGGGCAAATGTCAAAATGGAAGAGACATTTGAAAGAAAATGTCTAAGATCTTGATAGTGATTAGGACTTTCAGACTCTTAATTCTCATGTCTGAAAGTCCTGATCTTGTCTGAATGGCAAACATTATGCATTTTTTGGGAACCATTGTAACCACTTCCAGACACCTTTTAATAGAAAATAAGTCAATAAGTTGTATGTACTGACAAAGATGTTACACAATGAGAGTTTTGTTTCATGTGGATTGGCCGAGGAATAAGCAAATTCTGACTTTTGACAATCAACGGAAAACAATTTTGAGCTTCGTTCAACCATTATAGGCTTTTTGAAACGTTGTGAAGTCACAGGCACAGAACCTATAACGGAATGTACTGTGGAAATCGGATGTTTACATAAATTTGTATGTTTTGCTAATGGCTTAATTAGTTTAAGGAAAATAATGATATAATTTAAAAGATCATCTGTGGACCTCTGATGTAAAAGGCATGAACCAATTAAAACTAATCACATCTATCGGATATAATTACTCAACATTAATCACATCAAACATATTGTCATGGTTTAAGTTTATTTCCTGTTTTATTTTGAAATGTGTTATTCCTGTGTCTTTTTTGGTTGTACTTCCTGTTGTCTGATTACCAGCCCTGCCCTCATCTGTCTCACCTGTGTCTCGTTAGTCTTGTATTTAGCCCTGTGTGTTCCTTCACTCCCTGTTCCGTCATTGTCATTCCTTGTCTGTTTTAGTTTGGTCCTCGTTCCCAGTGTTTTTGGATTTGTTTCATCTTTTTATTAAATCCATTACTTTTTGCAGTTTTGCATTTTGGGTCTCATTTAATTTCACCCACGTGACAGAATGACGGAACCACTCAAGGCCCAAGCAGACTGCTTTATTTTTGTTTTATTATTTTTTGTCATCTCTGGCCCATCTTTGTCCCCGACTGGTCTTGACAGTTGCTGCAGGAGCTGGACGCATTCCCTGTCTGTCTGTCTGTGTCCTGGACCACTGGAGGACACTTAGCTCCGTCCTGGGTGGTTGCAGGCTTCCGTTCCTGACCTGGCTCCGCTGGATATTGTTCTCCATCCAGGGGGCCTTCTGTACCCGTTTGGCTCCAGTCCTGGCTCCAGTTCCTGCTCCAGCTCTTCGGCTCCACGTCCCGGCCCCGGCTCCACGTCCCGGCCCCGGCTTCACGTCCCGGCCCCGGCTTCACGTCCCGGCCCCGGCTTCACGTCCCGGCCCCGGCTTCACGTCCCGGCCCCGGCTTCACGTCCCGGCCCCGGCTTCACGTCCCGGCCCCGGCTTCACGTCCCGGCCCCGGCTTCACGTCCCGGCCCCGGCTTCACGTCCCGGCCCCGGCTTCACGTCCCGGCCCCGGCTTCACGTCCCGGCCCCGGCTTCACGCCCCGGCCCCGGCTTCACGCCCCGGCCCCGGCTTCACGCCCCGGCCCCGGCTTCACGCCCCGGCCCCGGCTTCACGCCCCGGCCCCGCCTTCACGTGCCGGTTACACCCCCCCGGTCCTTCCTACGGTCCCCCTCCTCCCTCCCTGGTTTTGTTTTTGGGACGTCTGGGATCCGTCCCTTAGGAGAGGGTACTGTCATGGTTTAAGTTTATTTCCTGTTTTATTTTGAAATGTGTTATTCCTGTGTCTTTTTTGGTTGTACTTCCTGTTGTCTGATTACCAGCCCTGCCCTCATCTGTCTCACCTGTGTCTCGTTAGTCTTGTATTTAGCCCTGTGTGTTCCTTCACTCCCTGTTCCGTCGTTGTCATTCCTTGTCTGTTTTAGTTTGGTCCTCGTTCCCAGTGTTTTTGGATTTGTTTCATCTTTTTATTAAATCCATTACTTTTTGCAGTTTTGCATTTTGGGTCTCATTTAATTTCACCCACGTGACACATATTACATTTCGTATCCTTTTATCTGTCTGTCTCCACGCTGCGTTGCCACTGTTTACTGACAAAATGCCTGTTGCTATTAAACAGAGCGATGACCGGTTTTGTTATTTTAATCTGATAACAATCTTGGGGCTGGCGGGAGGTACCTTTTCTCGTGTAGGTGCATGCAGCGCACAGTTGAGGTATGTCCGTACAGGGTGTGGATACATTCTCCGGTCTCGGCGTTCCAGACTTTGAGCGTTCGGTCCGTGGAGCCACTGATGATGATGTTGTCCCTCATTTGGGATGACCAGACACCTCCCGTGTGGCCCACCAGTGTCCGCAAGCACTACACAAAACAAAAATATAATAATTGTCAATATAACAAAAAGGTAAAAATAAAAAGGTATACCAAAGAACAGATAACACAAAAGCTGTAACAGCAATAACAGTAATGACAGCAATAAAGTTAATACAAACGTAATCAAATTATTTGCATTTAATTGTAATGTTTTGAGACCATTTACTTTTATCATTTCATGTTTTAGAATGTGAAATAATATCAGTAATAGAACATAGTAGAGAAAAGTAGAACACACATGACAAAACAAGTATGAAGGGTAAAAAATGCTTTCGGTGAGTAACTCCCCGCGTTACCACCAGAAAGACACGTTGAATTTGTTTGATGGTTTATTCAAATTTAAAGTCACTGGCTGCAAACACAACCATGTGATTGAAACATAATTTAAAGTGAGAAATAACCAAAACTAATTAAGGGGCAAAACTGTTCTGAGACGAATGACATAGTGGTACTATTACAGGACAGAGAGAAGCAGTGTTCCGCGTCCAATCAAGAGGTTTACTTAAACCCTTTCACAGAACAAAATAACAAATATGTGCATCCATACTGGTTTTGGAAAGGGGTTGGATGAAGGGGAGGCTTATAAACTCCCAAGCCTCCCCCTCACATGTTTATTATCAAGTTCCTGATGGAGCGAAAAACAACTCCATTTCTGTTTTTGACGAGGATATAACGCTGTAACATTGTTCAATTTAGCATTATACGTCTCCTCTAAAGTCAATGCGTAGCTCTTGGAAATATATAGCCGAGTGCATCTGGGATTTGGTCCTCTGCGCCCTTGCTTTTGCCTGGGGAAGAATGCAGACATGAAATGAATGGGCCGTGACCTTTTGAAACGAAGGGAACGTCTACCAGTCACACCTGCTGCTATATAAGAGCGAATGTCGCACAGTTTCTTCAGATCTTATAATTGCCTTTACTTATCAGCAGGAAAAAGGACGTTTGAGGAGCCGTTCTATTGGAAAGTATGGCATGCATATATATCCGTACATATGAGGCACACTTCAAGGACTTCTTCAATGTTAGCAGAAGAAGCGCCTTATTTGGTGGAAGTAGTGGCAGAGCATAGTATAGTTTGTATGCATGTAAAATGAAACAGAAAAAATAGCCATTTGTTTGTATCCGTATTTCAAACCTGCAAGTGTATACAAACGGGAAAAAAAAAATACAAAGTCCGCTTGGTTTGAAAGGGGGATGATGGAAGCTTACGCTTTTATAAAACCAACCAGAAATTCAGGTGTGAAGTGAAAAGTTTGTTTCTAGAAAGGGATACCAAAAAATGTCCAATTACACCCTTAATGCAGGGTACCGTGATACAGTTTCCGGAGCGACCGATTTGACCGCAAAAAACACAATGCATCTCCCCTGTACAAAACATTTATCCCCATTTACCAAGCGAGATTACATATTGATTACAGCCCTTATGGAAATTTTTGCTCAATAACATTTACATTGTTCGTTTTACCCTTTCAAATCCTGCAGGCTTTGGTTGCCAGGTTGAGGGGAGTGAGTGCTACTTGAGAGTGCCCCCCTGACTACACCCGATAAGCCTCCCAAAGAGTTTATTGCAGAGAGGAGAATCGCTTCATTAACTACAGGCTAACTCACCGTGACCTGACAATCAAAGCTCACAGCACTGCTATGGGTCGTCCCGCTTTATCACAGCAAATAGATTGTTACTGAAGAGTCGTTTTGTAAAAGACCTTCATAAAAACAGTCAAACTACAACTCTTTGTTCTTACTTGTGTGGGACTAAAAATGACCATTTCTACATTATTCTATATTAGAAATGTTACTGTTCTGTTTACATACACAGTGTCACATCGGCCTAAAGGGCACTCAAACAAGAGAAATGACTGCCATCTGATGTTAAGAATATGAGAACTTTTCCCGTTTTAAAGTCAACAAATAAAAGAAGCAGACATTTTAACGCTTTGGGTTTGTTTATTTTAAACAATCTATGTTAATAGAGGCTAATATTAAACTATGACATATGACCTCCCCATACACCACAACCCACAAAGCTATGGTGTTGCACAAGAGGTGAATATAATACATGCATTACATCTTAAAGATACATCGCAAAGATAGACACAAAGGGTTTTTTAGCCTTTACAAGCTATTAGAGGTGCATTCGAGAACAAAAAAATCTAGTGTGATTAGAGACCGCTCAAAATGGTGCGTGGGAAGAAAGCGGAATCGGGGAGGGAGGATTTACTGGTCTTTATCTGTGAAAGATTAGCTTTGGTATAGGACCTTGAGCGCAGGGTGTACTATTTTTGCAAGTGTCCTTTCAATCACATTAATAATACTAATATCGGCTAATGGATTCTAGATTATGAAACTGTTCACTGTTACGGCCTGGTATTAAACTGGATCAGCCCCTTGAATTTAGAGGGTCTTTGAAAAGGTTTCAATAGAGTGTTTGAGGTTGGGGCTTCTCATTATCATACGGCGGGGTGATTAAAAGATTAGCCAGACAGAACAATCAGCTTTCATTTTTTTCAGTTGAAGTAGGCTATGTGGGTGTGTTCACAGTGAAGTGTCAACTATAGTATCTGGACCTTAAAAGGTCATAACTCAAAGACAAAAT